ACCCCTTCGGCGCAAGCTGGGTCACATCTATCTGGAGTGGGATCACTCCTCCAAAATGCACTTCACCAAAGCTGAACTGATCAAGCTTCATCGCGGGTTTTCCCATCCCACATCAGAGAAACTCATCAATCTGCTTCGCTTGGCCCGCCCTTTTGAATCTGATGAGGCCACAAAGCAGTTTCTCGAGTCTCTGCAAGCTTCTTGTGACACCTGTCAACGCCTTGGCCCCACTCCTGTGCGTTTTAAAGTATCGCTACCCAATGAACAGGACTTAAAGTTCGGTGACGAATTGTCCATTGACCTGATGTTTCTAGATGGAAAAGCAGTACTTCACGTCATCGACACAGCCACTAGATTCTCGTCAGCCATCTTTCTAGACGCTCATGGCGCCACTTATGGCCAAAGTGTTGAAGGTATTTGGCTAGCCTTCGTCGAAGCCTGGTGTACCTTGTATACTGGCCTTCCAAATATATTTGTCTATAGACTTCGCGTTGACCAAGGATCCGCATTCACATCTGATCGATGGCGCGAGATAACTGCACAAGCTGGCATTCAACTTCGCATATCTGGTGTAAAAGCCCACTCGTCGTTAGGTATTGGAGAACGTCTTCACGGACCGCTGCGAAGGATTTATAGAAAAGTACGAGCGAACTTCCCGGACGCCTCTCCGTTCATTCTTCTGAAAATTGCAGTCAAGGCAATGAACGACACAATTGGAGAGAACGGTCTAGTCCCTTCTCTATTAGTCTTCGGAATTGTTCCGCGCTTCCCAATCATAAGTACGGAAATACCTTCGCAGCGTGAAAGAATGCAAATTCTTTCAACAGCCCAGATGGAAATGAACGCAATCATCGCAGAACGACGTGTACTTGCTGCTCTGAATCGGAACATCCCTGCAGCCTCCGATCGTGTGTATAATCTTGGAGACGAGATTCTAGTCTTCTCTGAGCAAGAGAAGCAATGGATTGGTCCATTCCTTGTTTGCAATGTTCACGGACGAATGATAACTGTTCAGAACAGCGAAGGAACTTATCGACAAACGTTTAACGATTATCAAATCAAGCCATACTACGCTTCCCCCGAGTCTATTCTTCACCAGCAAACTGCTCCATTCCGTAGTGGCAAAGCCTCAAATCCACCCAATAACGTCGTTCTTACTGAAGTTATACATCCCAATGATCCTCGTGCACAACAATTTGATAATGATAACGAAAGGAAATAGAAGGACTGATCGAAAGAGGTACTTAGAAGGTAGTGCTTCGCGATGAAGTTCCAGACAACGCAAACATCTTAAATGCACGATTCGTCCTTGCCATTAAAGACTCTGGAACAAACAAGGAAGTATGGAAAGCCCGATACGTTGTACAAGGCCACAAGGACAAGATGAAACGGTCATTCTTTCACGACACCTCAACGGCACGACAGTTCAGCGTCAAACTACTTGTCGGTCTTGCTGCTCTTTTTGACTTTAGACTCTTCTCAACAGATGTCACACAGGCATATTTGCAGAGTACGGAAGAGCTCTCCCGTGATGTCTATGTTAAACCATCATTTGAGTTCGACTTGGATTCTAAACAATTCTTGAAACTGCTCAAGCCGTTGTATGGACTAGCCGATAGTGGTGACTACTGGGGTAGAACGTTAAAGGATCATCTAGAGAAGGAACTTGGGATGAAGGCCAGTGTAACCGATGCCGCCTTCTTCTTCAAACGAATTAGAGAGAAGCTTACTGGCCTATGTGCTACTTATGTTGATAACTGTCTACAAGCCGGCACTGAAGAGTTTTGTCAACAGGCCAAGTGTGTCGAAAGGAAATTCAAATGTCGACCGAGGGACTACGACAATGTCCAATTTGCAGGTATTAAGATTGAATCCACACCTAACGGATTCCAAGTACATCAGAAGCACTATATCTCCAACATTAAGAACATCAGTAAGGAAGCTTCTTTCAAAGACTTTCGCTCACTTCGTGCCCAACTCTCTTGGGCCACTCGGTCCCGTCCGGATATTACATGCTCTATTGCACAGGCAGCTCAGGTTACTGAAGAAATCTTCAACTCGGACCCCACGAAATACTGTAAGGGACTTAATTCTGTGGTAAAACATCTCCTTACCATTACAGATCAGGTCCTCAAATTCCCTAAATTGGACCACAAAAGTCTTCGGTTACAAGTCTATTCCGATGCATCATACGGAAACAACCTTGACGGATCTTTTCAGTTAGAATATATCATTTTCCTTGCTGATGCAAATGATATTTGCCAACCATTGTTCTGGTCGTCGCACAAATCCAAACGCGTTTCCAGATCTGTCCTAGGAAGCCAAACAATGGCCTTTGCTGACGCTTTCGATATGGCCTTCGCAATGAAAAACGATCTTCACACCATGACCTCGCTCGACATTCCGATCGTTATGCTTACGGATAGTCTATCCCTGTTTGATGTTATCACTAAAGCAAAGATAACATCTGAAAGGCGACTAATGACCGATGTTAAAGTTGTCAAGGATGAATACCAGACACGTGAACTGCACGCCATAGGCTTCATTCGCTCCGAACACAACCCCGCAGATTCTTTGACCAAGGTCAAGAAAAGTGATATACTGATCGAAATGATACAACGGTCAATTCTTATACATCCTATCGACCAGTGGATCAATCGCAATTCGTGACCACATGACATATGCCACGAAAAAAGTTTGGGGAGTGTTAGACTTATTGACTAGACTACAGTAGATATCACACTTCTATGTTATCAATATCAATTCAGGGATTATGTAGGCTACATTTAGCTATCAATGATAGAGTCCCTTAAGAACGTGCCACCTACAATTCTACATGTTTTACGGTGTAACCGTTTAGACACATTTCGTGGGTGGCGCAACCTCCCTTTTATGGTAGTGCGCCTACTTTTGTTGTAGAGTCAATAGGACTATAAAGCCAGGTCGAAGACGCTACTCGTCTTCGACCTCAGCACATTCGATCACCTGAACCATCAACCCGACAACCCCGCCCATTGACCGTGCTCACCGTCCGTAGCGGTTCTGAGGCAATAGCCTGCTGCTCTTCCCCCTCCCTTTAAGGTAACCCTATTTACAACCCTTTTACCCATCACTAAAATCTCCTCCGGACCGCCCCCTTTCGGTCGGTCTCCCGACAGTTTGACCTCATATGAGGCAACCTTTTTTTGCAAAATATATATAATTAAATCGAAACTTTATAAAGTCAGTTTGGACGCCATTTCTTTAACGTTTATTCCCTCGGCAATAACATCTTGCAAAACATTGGGATAGCAGTTGTGAATACAGAGAAAGACTAAGAATCTAATGAAGTTGCAATGTTCTGTTGACATTTTAAACAGGCGTTTTGGTTTCGAAAATATCAACACCTAACGTTTTGAGATTGGGCAAAAAGGCTCCTTTTTTGGGCATTTTCAAAATGACTGGAAAAGACGTGTAGATCTCACCAAACTCCGCCCTTTCGCAACGCAGAAGTCAACTGCGGTGGCGAGAGTATCTTTTTCCATCTTGTTGAGCTAGCGCAAGTAGAGAAAAAAATAAGTTGAAAAGGAGCCTTTTTGCCCAACCCCAAAACGTTTTATGTTGATTTCTTCGAAACCAAAACGCCTGTTTAAAAAGCCAACTCATCATTGAAACTTCATTAGATTCTTAGTCTCTCTGTGCATTGGAAGCTGCCATCCCAATGTTTTGCAAGATGTTAATGCCGAGGGCAAATACGTTAAAGAAATGGTGTCCAAACTGACGTTTTAAAGTTTCGATTTAATTTATATATATTTTTGCAAAAAAAACTGGCCTCATATGAGGCCATGACTGAACTCATATGAGGTCAAATCGCTTGTCGTCTAGACACTAGATTCTGCAAGTACCCCTCTCACTGGCTCAATGTGGGACGCATAAGAAGTTATGATAAATATGCGAATGCAGTGCGTATTCGAAGAAAATTGCCTTTATTTGGACGGGAGAATTGGTCTCCAAAGTGTGCCAGGGTCAAAGTGGGACGACGAGAAATTTCACGTCTTGCACGCTTCATCTGTAATGGGAGAGAACCAACAAAGCCGACGCTGCCGTGTGCTTGCGGGTCCTCAACAACTCGCCTTCCTCAACCTGCATCCGCTGTTTTCGGGCTCTTGGCCATTGCGAAATTGGCAAGTCGTCGCAAACTATGTCTTCGAGAGGCGACACCGCAGACTGCGCTTTCAGACGTTTCTGAGAGTCAATATTTTTTTTGTTTGCAGTATCATTCTCTACAATAAACTCCTGAATGTGATAAACGTTGGGTACGGGCGCTTTTGGAGGATTCCGCCCCTCCAAACGAGCACGAACGGACTGCAAATTGCCAACCGTCGCTGCGTTTCCTGTTGCGAGGAATTTTCTATTAGATTTCTTAGGTGTGGGGTTCTTTGACAGGCATATATTCTTTCTCAGAATGTTGCGCAACACATTATTGGGAGCGACGGAAACCTCTGCAAAAGCATGAGCAGAAAACTGACCGTTTGTAAGAGCATGTGAATATGTTTTGAAACATTTGATGAAAGAGACAATGGGGAAACCATGGTACATTTGGGATTCTTAATTCCATTTAGGGGGTTCACATCACAGATAAACGAAATTTGGCGTCACAAATTTAATAAATAGAAGATCGTGGTCGATATTTCAGATCGTATTAGCAGATGGTCAACAGTTATTCCATATTGGCAATTAATCAACATAATATCAACATAAAGCTATTTCGAGCACAGAACGCTTCGTTTAATCTTTATCGGTTGTCATCACACGACAGTCTATGTGGAACAAGTGTTCATTCCATTTCAATGGGCAGAAGTGTCACATAACCTATATTTACAATGCTTTCAGTGTGTATTCACTTCCAGCGCTTTTCGAAATGGTACACAGAGGGAAAACAATTGGCAGCTACAGGACATTACCAGCTTACATCGGTCATTGATACACATAATCAGTGACAAAAAGGTGAAATGAGTTCACAATCCCACTCACTAATGCGGAATGGTGGTGACATCTGCCCTATCACCGTCCGAATTTCACCGTCGCCGTCCGAATTTTACAGTCATCGTCTGATTTTCACCCCTGCCGTCCGATATTCACGACCGCCGTCCACGCCTTCCGACCGCATTATTATTTACTGCGCGACCAATCAGGCCTCCATGCGCCCTTGTGCGTTCTTGAACAATGGCCGAAACGCCTTCCAAGGCCGGCGTCGTCCCAAGGATACGCCGGACGGCTTCTTCCCGCGCCGTACGCATCGCTACGCCAACCATACGGTCTCTAGAGTCTCGGCATGGCGGTTCTGCAGGCGAGCAATACCTCGCGGAGCTCGAGGTCCAGCTCACCCAATCTGAGTCCTCGTATGAAGGGTTCCACGTCCCATGTTCTGCTCCGAAGCCTGCCCCATGTGAAAACTCAGGCCTCAGCTCGACAAGTGCGAACGCAAAGCTGGATGCGCACAGAAAAGCGCTCAATCGAGCGTCGCAGGCAAAGTATCGAAGAAAGCGCGGCGAGCATGTGGCCGCTGCGAACGGAGACGCCGACAAGAAGTTCACCATCCGTGCCCTCACTATGGTGAATTCGTCCAGAGGTGGAGCGGTGCACTACATCCAGTCTGGGGACGCCCACATGTCGAAAGCTGAGGTTATTCATCGCTCTCGGGAAGTCGCTGAGTACTTTGCGCTAACCCTTCGATTACCGACCAACACACGGTTTGAGGTCAAAGCTGTAGCCGACATTCGCCACGGCGTAGACGAAAAAACAGGCTTCCTCGTCATGGCCTCTTTTGATATGAAGGCGGAGTCTTGGATCATCCGCAAGTGTGTCATCTCTGGTGAGATGGGGGACTCGCCAATGACTACAAATGGCATGAGGGAGCAAGGATGGCGTAGAGGTGCAGCGCGTACAGCATATACTGATCAAGTTCTCGCTTTTCACTGTAAAGATGTCGTCAAAAGCGACCCGGCGATCTCTAAAGCAGCGCTGATAGCTTACTTCGCGCCGTATGTGAGGTTCGCATCTCATATACCACCCGATCAGTGGTCGAGAGTGCGAAGGATTGGATACGTTTTAGCAAATGGCACTCCAGACGACAATATGTCTATGCTACCGGCATTACAGATGGAGATGCGAGCACTCGGTCACACTCTGGAGTACACCACTTTCGGTGGCAACGGCATGAGGGCCGTGATACATTCTGTAAGGAAAGCGGAGTATGATCGCCTACACAAGAAGGCATCCAGAATACCAGCCGCGCATCGCAATGAAGCTCACACTGCGGATCTTCTTCCCTGGAAAGAGTCCAGAAAGCAATTTTTGGACACACATGCCAATTTATTGTCACTTATTTCCAATCCTGGTCGATTGTACGTAGATTATCTCGCGTTTGCTTTTTCTTTCACGAAAAGGCAAGCCCCATCCTTGCTGACCCTTGTCGAAGCAGACGCATGCTTCGGGAAGCGCAACCTTGACGCGTACCAGTTGTTTACTGTCGTTGGAATCAGCTCAGACTTCAATGTGGTTCCGATGGCGTACATTTATATAAGCGGCAACGAAAGCGAGGAGACCTGGACTCGCGCTTGGGGTTTTGCGCGGAAAGAATTTCCGAACTTGGGAAGGCTTACAACCGTAGTGAGCGATGGCGATAAGGGGATCGTGGCTGGCCTGCGCAATATCTTCACAGTTTCGACGCAGCCGTTTCACGTAGCCTGCGCTCATCACCGCGCTGGAAATCTTTGCAAGCACGGCAAAAAGTGCTCGAAGATGTTTCATAAGCTCCTGAGAGCCCCTACAGTTGCTTCTCTTGACAACATCTCCAGCTCAGTGGCATTTTCTAGCCTGTCTACTGCAGCTCAAGCAGCATTGAGAAGATTACCTGATGCTCATCAATATCCAGCGGCGGCTGTTGCGCTTGGTGCTACCTTGTACGGAAAGGAAGCTTCTCAAGGTGTGGAATCTAACAACGCAGCCATGATGCCAGCTCGCTGCTATGATCCCCTTCTCAGTATTATCTGGCAAGGATCGCGGGACAGTCGCCGTTTTCACGAGATCTCTCAAAAAGCTCACGCTCAAGACCACTACCTACCCCCTCGCGTGAAAGCCCGTCTCCTCGCAGTCAGTCCCACTGGGGAGGTTCAGCCAGTGCAAGCATCATTTACCATCACGCACCAAGCTTTCAACGTCGTATGTGAAGGCAATGTGGTGTACTGTGTTCACTTGCGAATTCCAATTAAGGGTCATGCCGACAAGAGCCGCTGGCCAGTAGAAAAGTATCCATGCACGTGCGGCGTCCCAAGCATAGATCACATGCCGTGCGGGCACATGCTTGCAGTCGCATTCAGTATGAGCATTTTGTCAACATATCTGGTACCAACCGAACTGACTACGGGCCGCTGGCGCGCACAGTTTCCAGCTGAAGAGCTGGCCATAGTGCCGACATTGTCCGATGTTGCAGGATCTGCAACCGCGAGGAATAACGCACTCCACGTACCTGTCACAGCGCCGCCGAAGCGTGGACGACCAAACAACAAGCGAAAGCGCTCAGCGATTGAGAAGGTAACGAGAAACTTGCGCACGAACGCAGGGAATTAAAGCATGTCCCCCGCCCCTATCGTAGTACGTTGCTGTGTGCGCCCAGAACAGTATGTTCCACTGTTTCTGGGCAACATGCTGCTCATAGCATATCTGAACCTTGCTGCGACCAGCGGTCACTCTCCGGTAAACAAAACTTTTCTTCTTGTCCAATTCAACTTGTCTCCATCATATCACTCTTCCCCTCCAACGACCTCCTTATCACAGCAAGGGCCGCCTCAATCCCCGCTTCCAGCACGAAAATCCCGATGCACCTCTACGCCACCAAGGTCAAGCCTTAGTCCCTCACGATTCGCCAGGAATGCACCGCACATGCACGCATTGCGTGAATCCGAATGATCTTCTGCAGTGGTTTGGCAAACCACTGCAGATGATCATTAGGATTGTGCGCAGCGTAACGCTCACCATATCTTGCTCCTCGAACGCATAGCGAAGGAAGGCACGCGAGTAGTGCAGCGTGTTGGCGTCGCCGCACACCCAGCAGCGTCAGAACCACAGCGCTGGGCCTGGTCCACGCTCCAGAGCGCGGTCGAAGCATTTGAGCACGTGCCCCGAAGCTGGGTCTACTGCCTCTCTCGTGGTGGCTCTCCCGCGTACAGCTACGCGGGCGCAAAGCTGGCCACCTCTACACCGGTGGCTTGGACGGCGACGACGGCGATGCTGGTGGCGTGCGCGGTTGCGTCCGCGCCGCCGTGGACGTACATAGACATGCCTGGGGCGGAGCGGTGTGTTAGCCTGGCATCGAGCAGGTGGTCCACGCGATGACAGGTGCGATGCACTGTTTTGGCGCGCGCCGTCACGATTGCAGCGAAAGACGAACTTCGAAGGCGTGGCGCAGGTATGGCTGAGGGGACGTTCCACGATGCGTGAGTAAAGCGAAGACCGAAGGGTGACGGCGTCAAGAGATTGACGCCAACCTGAAAGCACTAAAAGGCCGCAGCGGCGGTATTTCCTGGAGATTGATTCATATTGTTCGCTGATCACCTTTTCTTCTTTCCTGATCACAGTAACAGCAATCTCCGATTTTCGCCACCCGAATAGTAACTAAACCATTTGCCATTGTGTGCGAGCTCCCTTTTCTTTCTGTCATATCATACGAGCTATGTGCTCTTTCTGTCATTTCTTCCGAGCTAGATTTTGTCTTTGCCGTTGTTTGCGAGCTATGTTCTCTTTTTGCCATTGTACATACTATCACCTCCGTTTCCCAATGCGGTGAATCACTACCTGCGTCTCTCAATATCATTTCAGACACTAGCACTGTTTGGCATTTACTTTGGATGCGCCCCTTTTCCCAATCTTGAGCCAAAATCGACGTTCATCTGCAGTTACAGTTATTCATTACACCTAAATGAAGATAAATCCCCCAGTGTTCATCCATGTCCATTTTACTCTCCATTATGACGACCCTTTCCAGAAAGTCCCTTGATGAAATCATCAAACGAATATATTTAATTCGTTGCGAAATAGTTTAGCAAAATCATATGCGCGAAACTATGCGGCGCGGCATTATAATTTTGGTGTCACAATTTGAGCCTTGTCACAGATTGAGCCTGTGAGAAGGGTATTGAAAGAGGCGATTTTTGTCATTGAAGACATCAGGCCTCATCACAATCCAAGACGTACAGCCATCCTAATCAAACTTTCTTCGGCCGGCGTATCGTACCGTGCAGCAAACACTGTGTACTCCAGTCCCTTCGCGTTAGACTCAATGCGCATCCCACGATTGAAGCGAGGGCTGTTCACCTCTATCACTGCTTCTTTGCAAGCAACCGAATCGCAATACGTGCTCATTCTCATCGCGTGCCCGCGGAATACGACTATGTGACCACGTGTGGCACAACTGTTGTACTAATCATATAGAACCCGCGAGACGGCGTGCTTCTCGAACACAAGTCCATTGGTAGATAGATGTCCGAGGGCTCGAGCGTCTATACACGCCTCCTTGTCGTTGCCATCGTTGTCACCGCCGCCGCCGCCACCGACGACCGGAATACCTAGAGCATTTGCAGCTTCCTGCGAGAAACACACCGTGCTCTTGGTCAACTGTACGCACACTTCCCCAGTTGTCGAACAGTCGTCACTCGACGTGCATCTGTCAAATCCGACTGCAGGTGCACAAAAGCAAGTCTCGCCAGCAGGGCACGTGTCTATGCTTCCTTCTACGCAGATTCTTCCTACCGCACACTCAGATGAATTCGTGCAAAACTCTCCGGTTAGCCCCACACGGTTTGCTGTCGACAGAGATTTAGAAACAAATCCCACAAAGTCTTTTGAAATTTCCATCAGAGCTGCTTTTCTCCCAGCGTATCGTCCGATCTTACTGTTCAGCATACGAGTGTTTTGAAGAAAGGAATTGATTACAGATGCCGTGTTCAGCCCAGGATATTTAGACTACGAGGCGGTCCGGGGTTGGTTGATTCCATGATCCGTAAGCCGGCCGGCAGGTATGGCAACACTGGGTCGGGATATCTTGTAGTCCTTTGGACTGAATGCATGTGTCCTTCTTACTGTTTTGTGCGCTGCTTTGTGCGCTTGAAGAAAGGCGTAGATCGACGCAATGACTCGGAATGAGCGCAGGAGATTTGGGTAAATTCCTTTTGCGCAGAGATGTAATTTTGCTCCTTCTCAGGCGAGTGTTCTACAGCAGAATACGGCTCTTTTCTGTCTGAGGTAGCCTTTGGGCGTGAAACAAGAGCCATTTACCTGAGCGAGAAGGCGATATCGGGGCTGGAACAGCAAGCGGGAAAGCAAAGAGGGTACACACCAGCGATAAGCGCAGCAGAATAAGCATGTTGACGTGCGGTTGTCACGGGAGCTGAGGAAGCCTGAGAGAGAGAAAGTGTTAGCTGAAACATGGTGAGTGTCAGAGGTCAGGAGTACTTAAGTAGAGATGGTACACGGACCAAACGACTGTGTGAGTATCTCGACATCAGGGCGGTGATACGTTACCATTGGGAACTGTGCGTATACCGCACCAGATGAAGGTCATTTCCCCGTTGGCGCTAACTACGGCAACATTGAGACCCTGAGATGAGGATGGGTAACGTCATCAAAGGCTTACGCTGCGACATGCATATCAAAAGCTGATGAGGCGATGAGGTTAAAATTGGATGGGGTTTAAATCATACAGAACCTTCCCGGATACTGCAGACCCAAAACAGACACATGCATGTGCGAATTTTGACTGAGAGAAGTGTGCGTCAGAAAAAGTGAACTGTTGCAGCGCATCTCTTTGTGTCGGGAGACCGACCGAAAAGGGGGCGGTCCGGAGGGGATTTTAGTAAAGGGTAAAATGGTGGTAAATAGGGTTACCTTAAAGGGAGGGGGAAGAGCAGCAGGCTATTGCCTCAGAACCGCTACAGTTGGTGAGCACGGTCA